TCTTTACTTTTTTACACTTTTTTTTTTCACTACAAGAAATTACACATTTGCCGATCACTTTTGCTGACTAAAAAAATTTTGGCCGCAAAAAAATGACATTTTCCGACCAAAAAAAAAAAATCGTAGCTAAAAGTTGATACTATTACCGACTAAAGTAATTTTGTTGCAAAAAAATGATTTTTTGCGACCAATTTAAACTATTTGTCGCTAAAAATATAGGCAGAAGGCAAAAAATTATTTTTAATCTTTGGCGACCAAAAGTTTGGTCGCCAAAAATTTATTTTCAGCGACTAAAAACTATTTTAATCGCAGTATAGTTAGTTTTGGCTACTAAAATTATTTAGTCACGAAATGAAAAACAGAAAATTATTTTTAATCTTTGGCGACCAAACTTTTGGTCACCAAAAATTTATTTGCAATGACTAAAAAATATTCGCTGTGTAGTTAGTTTTGGCTACTAAAATTATTTAGTCGCCGAATGAAAAACAAAAATTTACTTTTTATCTTTGGCGACCAAAAGTTTGGTCACCAAAAATTTATTTTTAGCGACTAAAAAATATTTTAGTCATTGTATATAGTTAATTTTAGCTACTAAAATTATTTAGTCGCCAAATAAAAAACAAACATTTATTTTTTATCTTTGGCGACCAAAAGTTTGGTCACCAAAAATTATTTTTAGCGACTAAAAAATGTTTAGTTGCCAAATAACTAAAATATTTGGAGGGAACTTTTTAAATTTTGAAAAGATTTATAAAATTACTTCAAGACCAAAATATTTAGTCGTGAATGGTGTAAAATGACCAATATATATTTTGCACATACATATATGTATTCGCACATGTAGATACACACCATCTCTCTCTCTCTCTCTCTCTCGCTCTCTCTCACTCTCTGTTGGGAGAGCAACACACAAAGTATCATTTTTTCTTTAATAAACCACACTTACTGGAGTAGAGTCACACAAATCCAAACCACGCTCAAACCACTTCCTTCACCACCGTCGGAGTATCGGCAACACACTACAAGAAGTTGCACTTTTGGCGACTAATTTTAGCAACGATGCCAATTTTTCATAGGCAAAAGTATATTTTTGGCGACACAGTGATCAATTTTGTCGGTAAAAGTAAATCTTTAACGACGCAATATACTACCGTCACTAAAAAAATATAACAGTCACCCAGTGCCAAAACTATTAGTTGGTGCCAAAATTTCAAACTTTTAGCGACAAGGGTCATTTTTTGGCAACACAATAAGCATTGCTATTAGTTTGTTTACTTTTGGCGATAATAAGTTAATGTGGGTAAAGAGTTAAATATTTAGCGACGACAAAATTATACGTCGGCAAAAGTTTTGTCAGTAAACACAAGATGGTTTCATGACTTGCGTTGTAACGGCCCAAATTTCTAGCCCAAATGATAAGACAACAATCATGACTCTTTCAAGGAAAATCGAATATAAATCTCCAAACTTATATTACATGATACAATAGTTCTTTATGCAACAATACATTAATCCAACAACAAGTAAATAAACAAATAAATACCCCCAAGGGTTTACAAGTTTCCAAGGCTTGAGCTTGGTTATACAAAGCGGTTATTCAAACCCATACAAACACAGCCCTTGGCTTACACACAGAATCACAGCAAAATGACAACATTGTACTCCCAACACACATACTTCCATGCCCCTAGTTGGGTGAGATCACCACATCTTTTCCTGCACAAAAATCTCGTAGGGTGAGCATAAAGCCCAGTAGGAAATTCTTAACAAACTATATACATTTTATACAAGTCTCAAGAGATGAAATGCACATGCCATGCCATGCCCTTTTAGAAGATAAATCACATTTTCATCTTTTGAAAACCATCAGGCTCAATGATATCATGCAATTTCAATTGTTCAAAACTTAACAATTTATTTCAAGGGCGGTAAATACGACTTTGGTAATCCATAGGTTGGTGTCTGCAAGTAGACTATACAAGTACTACCAAATTGTCATTTTTACCAGTATTAACCGGAAAGCTCGACACCCATCCACGCGAGTTTTCGGTCTTTCACCCGGGACTCTCAGGCCAACTTATTCAATATCATATACACCACCTATCAAGACTTACCAATGTATTTACCCCAAAACCATTCCATGAAAACTTGTTTCTCAATTATCTTTTCTCAATGCAAGTTTTCAAATCAACTTTCAAAGTTTAATGTAATCAAATGAATTGATATGCTAATTTCACAAGATGAATATAAATACTTTTATTCCAATTTATCATCCAAAGAATAACACAATTCCCTCTTCTCAAGTATCCTCGACAATTAGTTATTTCAAGACTATTTCAACGTTTTGAACAATAATTTTCAAAATGAACAACAATTCTGATATTCCCTGAAATTCATCATTTATATAAATATAAATAAGAAATTTTCCAAACATGCATTTATTTTGACACACAAAATAAATATAACAATATCATTCATGGATTTTCAGTCTCCTTTAAAAAAATTCCCAAATTCTAGGTTTTCTCACCAAAACTATACAACTCAAATCTTTTGAAAGAAAACTTTCCAAAATCATCTTTTCTTCAATCAACAAAGATCAAAACCCATAAGATCATTTTAAAAGAACAAGAGACAAACCCACTTTCAAAATCGCTCAACTTCTTGAATCAACAATCAATTTTCAAAGTTATCGAAAGATGATTTCGAAAATCATATAGATCTTGCAAATATATATATATATATATATAACTCTAAGAAAATCCCTACCTCAAGTTTTGAAGAAGAAATGACATAAAACCTCCAAAATCAACGGTATCGAAACTCAATCTTCACCGCACACAATGAAGCCTTCGAGAGGTTAACCAACTTTGATGAAGAACTTATGGCAGAACTCTAATGGATCTTGAGGAATCAAGGTTTTGATCCAATTTGACGTAGGGAAATGTAGAAAGAAAGGAGAGGAAATGGTTTTTAGAAAGAGATATACAGAAGTGATATAAAATATCAAATTCACAAACTGATATAACATGGTCCGCTCGAGCGTGGAAAGCCCCGCTCGAGCGTCAAATACACTTTCCCAGTACTTTTGCAGACAAGTCAAACTTCTGGAACCAAAAATTCTCCGCTCGAGGGCGTAAACGACCGATCGAGCGGACAAGCAACTTCTAATGCATTTTACATTTTTGCTTCCGGGGCGCTGTCCCTCAACCCCGCCAGGGCGCTGCCCTAGGACCTGCCAAGGGGCGCTGCCCCTTGGACCCTCGCGAGCTGACCAAGTAGCTCGATCCTCGCCAGGGCGCTACCCTTGGACTCGCCAAGTGGCGCTACCCCCTAGACCCCCGCGAGCTGACCGGGCAGCTCGATCCCCGCCAGGGCGCTACCCTTGGACTCGCCAAGGGGCGCTGCCCCCCGGACCCCCACGAGCTGACCGGGCAGCTCGATCCCCGACATACTCAGCGAAGTGGCAAAACTGGGATCGCTACAACCTTCCCCCCTTAAAGAATTTCGTCCCCGAAATTTCAAATCAAACTACCCAAACAAAGGGTTTCTAGCGATCAAAACCACACTATTTCATTTTCAAATCACAATACTAACTCTCAACCAAATTCCACCATTTCCACCATGGTTATCTCATTAACAACAACCTCTCAAATACGCATAAACATGAAATTTTCCAAAAATTAATGGTAACTCTAAACAACCTTATGCTTAAAACAACAACGCACATATCAACATGTGATTAACAACTTTAAATATGTTTCCCTCAACACTAGGGAATATTACAAAGAAAAGCAACTTAAGCATTTTCAAATAAATCCGGATATTTGGAGCGGACTTCCGCCTCCAGTTCCCACGTCACTTCTTCAACCCCATGGTGTCTCCATAACACCTTTACCAATGGTATAGTTTTGCCCCGTAGCACTTGCTCCCGGATATCTAATATTTGAACCGGTCGTTCTTCGTAAGAGGCATCCTTATCTACCTCTAAGTTAGCCCAATCAAGCACATGAGAAGGGTCACGTTCATACTTCCTAAGCATAGCTACATGAAATACGTTGTGAACTTCCGAAAGTTGTGGCAGTAAAGCTAACCGGTATGTCACTTCCCCAATTCGCTCTAAGATCTCAAAGGCCCAATCAACCTTGGAGATAATTAATCACTCTTACCAAATCTCATCAAACCCCGCCTTGGTGAGCGTTTTTATTAAAACTTTATAAAAGAGTTTGGATTCTCTCAAATTGTCCATCTAAATGTGTTTAAAACATACAGTTACTGATATTCGATTTTCTTGATTTTTTTTCTTCAATATTCTAGTTAATAAATTATAAAAAGTGAATGGTTTGCATCGCCAAAATCGGTTTCAAAATGAGCCCACAAAATCCAAAATTGACATAACCAAATTAAGCGAATTGAAACTTTTTCCAAAGTTGAGGTGGTGGCCATGTTTGGTTCGATTGCTTAAGCTTGATTCAAATTTATTTTTTAAAGACTAAAAATTAGTTTCGTCAAAAATTTAAAAAAAATCAAAATTATCATACTAGTCAATTTTGTATAATTTTACGAAGAATATGATTAGCTTATTTGGTTTGGATTTTTAGTATGCAATTTTTAGAAAATTAAAATTTTTGTTTTCTATGTTTTTTGTTTTCACTAAATTTTTTTAATATTTTAAGCTTATTTTTAATTTTTAAATACACCAAATATAAATACACTTTAAAAGTATAATATTTGTGAAAAAAATCTTTAAAAAATTCAGTAAATACTAAATATATATATATGAGAATTTAGTATATTTTTTAAAAAAAATTGGACAAATATTTTACTTTTTAGATACATCTAAAAAAATTACTTAAAATTTGAAAAATACGCTAAAAATAAAAAAAAATCTGAAAAATAAAAAACTTAATTTCAAAAAATTGAACCCAAAAAATTAAAACTAAGCAATTTTTAAAATTTAAAAATACATTTTTAAAAAGAAAAACAACCAAGACCTCAATTTTTTACCTCCCTCCCAAATTTCCCAATGTTCGAATTTTCCTCACCTTCCTTAGTTCTCCCCACCTTCGCGCAACTCATCTCCTCTCTTCCACCGTCACCACGGCCGATGAGCATGGCTTCTCGTCATCACCGACCTCACCATAATAATTGGTGTGTATATCCTTCTTTTTCTCTCTCTCAGTAAACCCTAACATTTATATATATATATATATATATATTCCCTTTTCCTTATATTTGCCCTAGCCCCTTCACAAACACTAATCGGTCTCTTCGCTCTCTCTATCTCTCTCTCACAGTAATACAACTAGTATGCATCTTGAAGGTACTCTCTTCGATTTCTTCTTTCGAATTTTAGCCCCTGTTCTCTAATCAATTTCTGGCTTTTTTTTTTTTTGAATTTTTCTCTGTACCAGTTTTTATCGATTGCTCCAATCTCTTCCTTCTTTGTTTTTTCAAAATTCATGTTCAATTTGATGTGTTGTTAAATTACATATTTTTTTATGTTTAGCTCTTTTTTTCGTTGGATTTCGCAAGGGTTCGAGTCTAGATCTATAGTGATTGTGCTCTGAGAGTAAGTTGATTAATCACTTTTCTATAGCGTTGATTTGCTGTTTTTTTTTTTTCCCCCTTTATGTTGTAGTTCATTTTTTTTGGTTGCTAAGAAAAGGAAATAAGAAAACTCAATGAGATTTTTTATTTTCTGTACTTTTTCACTAGAAAAGTCAGCTCAATTACGTCTCCTAGGATTAATTGAGTCGAGTGATATTCCTGTTGATTTGATTCCAGAAAATTTAAACTGAAAGGTTTTTCCCTAATTTTCTCATCAACCAAACAATGAAGTCTGGGCCTTTCTAAGCTCAGACACAAATTTAATCATGTCTTGTTCATTGATTCAATAAAACCTGCTAAATTGCTATCTTTAATGATGAATTCTTTGGTTAATGATCTAAATTTTCTGTCAACTTTGCATACACTGTTATTTTTATTTATTTACTTTTTGTTTGTGCGGTTATTTGGCCTTTCATTTTGGAAGAAATCATGGCATTGGTGGTAAGGTTGAAAAATCAGAAGGTTTTTCTCCAAATAGCTTCGATCGAGTTCTTCTTGATGCTCCTTGTTCTGCTCTGGGTTTGAGACCTCGACTATTTGTTGGAGATGTAGGATATTTTCCTGGATTTCATTTTATTTTTGTATATTATTATTATTTTTTCTTACAGTTATGTATTTCTTCTTGATGCTCCTTGTTCTATGTTTTTTATCTCGGTGGTTGGCTTCTTATCTGTTGCTGGTTTTTCACTCTCCCCAATTTAGTAGGTGGTCATTGACCGTTGGACTGTTTTGATAATTTCATATTTTTGGACATAGGTTGTAGTACGGGTACATGGACCGTTCTTGATTACTTATGATTTTTTTACTGGTTTTTGTACACGGTCTATATTAGCTGTTGAATATTCTAGCTAGTCAAAGATTTTAGTTCTGTTCTGGAATTAGATAAAGTTAGTAGAGCCCAATAGGAGTTTCTTTTTCTAAGCCCATGACAAGCTTTTTCAACTTTTTGTGATGTATTAGCCTTTACCTGTTGTGCTTAATTTCAAAAGAACTCGAAGTGGATGCTAGATTTTTCTTCTTTATCTACTTTTCTTTCTCATCTTCTTCTTTTGAGTTACCATCCATAAGAGGCTCCGGTGTATAGAGAATACCATCCATAAGAGACTCCAGTGTATAGAGAAGACCTTATTGTTTAAGAAATTCAAGGTCAATAAGCAGCCCCTAAATTATGCCAAAACTATGCTCTAACAAGCAAATGACCCTTTTTTGTACTGTCCAGACTTTGAATTCAACCCCAAAAGCCATGAAATAGTTGCTGTCTAGAATTTTAGTAATTAATTCTTTGCAAATCTTGCAACTTATGACCTTTTAAATCAAGCCAATTCCAACCCCCTGCATCTATAAACCTTACACTTCAAGGGCTGTAGTTATGTGTACTTTTGCACTGAGCTTAGGAAGATCTCATAGATTGATTTTGTTAGACAGAAAAGTATGGAGATGAAGTATTTTGATAGTATAATATCTACCAAGAGTCCACTTTCTGCTCAAGTTCAATCTTAATGATTGTAAATACTTTTTTCTACCATACACCTAGAATTTCATTATTTACTTTTTATATTTTTTTTTTCCGTACAAGATGCGCCTCACTTCGGTGAAGCCTGCGCCTTGCCTTGCGCCTTGAGCCTAGGCCCCAGGAGACCTTGGCACCTTGGTGCCTTGGTGCGCCTATCGCCTTTAATAACATTGGTTTGGTGCTTTTAGCTTGACTCTAAAACAGAGCCAGAAAGGTTTAAGGCCTTAAGCATTGTAAAGCATAACACCTTAAGCTTGAAAATAGGCGTTTTAAGGACATAATTGTGAAATAGCCATGGAAATACTTGAGAATCATCATCATCATCATCATCTTCTTCTTCTTCTTCTTCTTCTTCTTCTTCTTCTTCTTCTTCTTCTTCTTCTTCTTTTATTATTATTATTTAGTTGGGAGAGGCTTCTAATGATAAACCACATGACTTCAACCAACAATGAATTATGATAGCTATGAGATCTGAGGGCTTTTACAAGTGTTTTTGAAGTGGTGGATTTTGCTGGGCAAGCTAGCAAAGGGATTGAGTTACTGATATGATATTGATGTTGATCTTACAATTTTTTTTAAACAAGTATTCTGTTTTCTAAAATATATTTTAGATTTTAAGATCATTGATGGTGCCCAATGATGGAATTCATTCTCTTGAGATGTTGCTTAGATTTTGTTAACAAGCCTTCTTCATCATCTTTGTCATTTTCATCATAATCAATGTGGTAGTGGGGGTTATTGTATTATCATTATTATTATTATAATTGGTGTGGTGTTGTGTTGTGTTGTGTGCTGTGGTTGTGGTGTTGAAGGGTGTCAATAAAAATCATAAGAATTCAAGATTGATGAATTATGATAGCTATGATATCTGAGGGCATGTTCTACACTAATAATGTGAAGCTTATAACCTGATTTTCTTGGAGGTTGGTGACTTGATATGCAATTGTGGTTTTACTAACCTTCTATTCTTAGCTTGATGAAGAAAAGAAAAACCATTTTTTATGTCATAATTCAATGAAATCAAATTCTTTTTTTGGTGTTCTCAGGGTTTTTTTCATCAATATCTTGAAGCACCCCAACCATCTTTTATTTTGTATTATCATTTTACTTATTTACATATTGTTTCTGTTTTGGTGGTTCATGCAAATTTGTTGAAGGAAAGTGTTACTACACGCAACCACTAAAAAGGATACATATAGTATGCACTCAAAATTTCAGTCACAATTGTTCATGGGTTGCCCAATGAAGCAGTTTAAAGGTATCTATCCATCACTGGTCTTTATGAATGGTTTTCACTTTTGTGGGTAACCCTTTCTTTTCTTTTTTTCCTTTTTATAATTCACATCTGTTTGATGGTGTGCAAAGGCTTTTGATGAATTCCATCTTCAAAGCATTGACTAGTCACTCAAGAGTAATTATATCCATGGCTTTCCTTAGTCACTTTGTTTCTATGGTGCCCCCAACTATTTGGACTTACTCATGCTGCACCCAGTTTGAACTCTTGCTAAACAATAAAGCGAATTCTAGTCTTCTAGTCAGATCATGCGCGTAGGGAACACAATTTGTTGTATCACTATACTTGGTTCTCTTGTTTTATATGTGGTTGCATTGTCAACAAAGGTGTGTGGATATTGCAGTGTCGTGTAGACATATTTCTTAGTGTTAGTATAATGGTTATGTGCTGGCTGTTCAGTATCGACTTAGATAAATCACAAATACTGAATCATAATTTATTGTCACTTGGTTGTCAGAGTAGTTTATTTTCTGCAATTTTCATTTGAAATGCAGCATAGAAAGCTAAGTCTATCTAAATTGCATTCGATAACTTTTCTTGTATTCATTCTTGATTTGAGGATGCTTCATTGTAACGCCCCAAATTTCTAGCCCAAATAATAATACAACAATCATGGCTCTCTTAAAGGAAAATCAAATATAAATTCTCATACTTGCATTACATAATAATAATAGTTCCTCATGCGATATTACATTGATTCAACAACAAGTAAATAACCAAATAAGCACCCCCAAGGGTTTACAATTTTCTAAGGCTTAAGCCCGGTGCACAAAATGGTTATTCAAACCCACACATATGTAGCCCTTGGCTTACAAATAGGATCACAACAAATGAGAACTTTAGTGCTCTTAACACACACATTTCTACACTCTCAATTAGGCGGATTCACTACGTCTTTTCCTGCACAAAAATCCGGTAGGGTGAGCATATAGCCCAGTAGGAAATCCTTAACAAAGTATATATATTTTATACAAGTCTCAAGAGATGAATGCACATGTCATGCCATGCCTTTTTGAAAATAAAACACATATTCATCTTTTGAAAACCATCATGCTCAATGATGTTATACAACTTCAACTGTTCAAAATTTATCAATTTAATTAAAGGGGGCAGTAAATACAACTCTGGTAATCCCTAAGTCGGTGTCTGCAAGTAGACTATACGAGTACTACAATTGTCATTTTTACTAGTATTAACCGGAAAGGTCGACACCTATCCGCGCGACTTTCTGGTCTTTCGCCAAGGACACTCAGGCCAACTTAAACAATTTTATCCACACCACCTATCAAGACTTACCACCGTATTTACCCCAAAATCGTTTCATGAAAACTCATTTCCTAACATTCTTTTCTCAATGTAAATTTCCAAAGCTTAACATAGTCCAATGAATTGAAATGTCAATGTATGCTTAATAATGCAAGGCAACATTACTTCCATATTCAATTGTTCCACACAATATATCATTGTGATCAAAATTGCCAATCCTCTTTTCAACACAATTTCACAAGATAAATATATATATATATATATACTTTTATATTCAATTCATTCAAGAGAATAACATAATTCCCACATTTCGAGTAATCTCAACAATTTAGTCAATTCAAGACTAAATCAATATTTTGACAATAATCTTCAAAATAAACAACATTTCTCATTTTTTTTCCACAAAATTCGTCATTTATATATAAATAAACAATTTTCAAAACATCCATTTATTTTGGTACACAAAATAAATATGACAACATCTTCTAAGGATTTTCAACATCTTTCAAAGAAAAGACTCAATTTCTAGGTTTTCTCACCAAAACCATTCATCTCCAAGATATTTAGAAGAATCTCTCCAAAATCATCTTTCTTCAATCAATATGGTTCAAAACCTTAAATTTCTATTTTAAAAGGAAAAGAAATTAAACCCACTTTCAAAATCACTCATCTTCTTGAAATCAACGATCAATTTCTCAAAACTAATCAAAGGAAGATTTCGAAAATCATCTAGATCTTGCAAAAACATATATATAACTCTAAGAAAATCCCTACCTCAAGTTTTAAAGAAGAAATGAGATGAAACCCACAAAATCAATGGTGTTGAAACTCGATCTTCACCACACACAACGAAGCCCTCGAGATAATAACCAACTTTGGTGAAGAACTTAGGTCTAAATCCCAATGGATTTGGAAAAATCAAAAAGAGAAGATGACTTCTAGAGAGAGAAGCTCCCGATCTGGAATTCTGGAGAGTTTTAGAGAGAGAGAGAGGACTAAAAAAGTGATATGAAATATCAGATTCATGAACCGATAAAACATGAAAGAAGGATCGAAACCAGGATCGCTACATTCATGTTGCAACAATTTGTCATTTTGTTCTTAAAAAATAACTTTTATATTTAAAAAATGTCAAAATATATATATATATATATATATATTCAAATAACAAGTGGAAATTGCAAAAAAAAAAAAGTATTGTTCTGATCAATCGGCCGAACGACTGGCCGAACGTCCGAGAGGATATTCGAGTAGACGATCGGGTAGACCAAAAAATTCAAAAGCTCTCTAGTTTACCAAACATTTTCAACAGCTCGACCCCCGCCAGGGCGCTGCCCTTGGACCCGCCAAGGGGCACTGCCCTCTAGACCCCCGTGAGCTGACCGGGTCGACCGGCCTAGTCGAAGTGAGGAAACATGAAAGAAGGATCGAAACCGGGACCGCTATAACCTTCTCTCCTTAAACAATTTCGTTCCCGAAATTTCAAATCAAACTATCCAAACAAAGGGGTTTCTAGCGATCAAAGCCACGCTATTTCATTTTCAAATCACAATACTAACTCTCAACCAAATTCCAATATTTCCACCATGGTTATCTCA